GATTTGTAAAGATATTACAACATTGTCCATTGTACTGTAGTTTCAGTTGCTTTGCTAATGATTCAACATGGAGTTTGCCCTTTTTATAGAAGCTACATTGAGTAGACATTTTTGGGACTTCCAGTGTTGGGGCTTTCTGCTGTTAGCTAAAAACCTCTTTGCTGGGTCATTTCCAGACGTTTTCCTTGATAATTAACACTCTCAGTTACTATGGATTTTTTAAAATTGTTTTCAATTATTTGTTTTTATTGATTGTATTGTTCTTTTACTGTTTTTACTCCAGACTGCTTTGAGATTTTTTCAAAAAAGCAGAAAGTTGTATAAAATGTTCTTAAATATATAAATAACTGAATCAATTTTAATAGAGGTATCCACAATGAATCCAAGATCCTGTCTTTGTCACTCAGCCAGACTATCAGTAGTGTGTACATACAATCAGGAGTTTTGCCCCAGCGTGCACTACTCTACACTTACCTATAGAACAGTCTGTCATTTTAATCCATCTGCAGCTTTTCACTGTCAATTTTAATTAAAACTATCCTAAATAATTCAGCATTTTCACTAAGCTTGGAAACCTTACTGCTCATCTCTACCACTAGATCATTTATGATCAATTAAAAAACATGTGCTCCAATATGTTAATATTGGCACACGTCCATTATGAGAACTGACATCAGGAAGCATGGTCATTTAGAAACTATTGCTGCCCACTGTGCGATTCCCCTTTGTGCCCTTTATACCTCTGGGCTCCACAAAGGTAAATACACCCTTTTCGCTGCCACCAGGTATTATACTAATACCAAATCAAATCCCACACACTCAGGAGCTGTCACCCCAAAGGGTCATACAATTTCAGGAATCAAGGGGTTTAAATAAACACTCTTTTATTATTGAAGCCCACAAATAAACTTTTTTTAAAAACAAGGAATGAGTTTAGATTTTAAAAAACAAATTTGTGTGTTCAAAACAGCCTTTAAATGGGTACAAGGACCAAACATGTTCACCCACAGAGGTTTTAGGAGTTGTAACTGGCCATTTTATGTCAAATTTTATTATTAGACAACACTTATGTAAGTTCAGTGGATCAATGGATCTGAAAATAACAATGAAAATAACAATGGGATTTTGTCCCCAGTCTATGGTAATTTAATTAAAGTATTCTGTTTTCTCATCAGAACAAAAGTGGTGCAGAAATTTATCTGTATTCCACAGGCGTCATTTTCTGTGAATTACATCTTGTCAAATAGCTATCATTTACTGTATGATGTCTATCAGGTATGAAAACCGTAAGATAAATGTTTCAGTGATGACTTCACTGTAACTCCAACATCAGGAGGAAGTGGAGCAATATGAACTATCATTTTCCTGTTATCTTCCTCTGAACCATTACTTCTCTTTGGAGTTAATTTCTACATTGGCTAAAATCAGACAAATTGTGTGAATAGTGTTAATTTGGTAGATACTTTTACTTGGATTTTTTGGACAAGTTTTTCACAAAAAAGTAAGAACAAGACTTGTCTTATACTGAGGTGATCAGGTGAAAAGGCAGGCAGGGTTCCTCTAATAGTTGCTCAGAAGAGGAAATTTCAACTGGAGGAAGTTTTTAATGCAAACACCAAAATTTCCTCTTCCACATACAACTGTTAAAGATAAAGAATCCTGCTCTTTTTAAAATTTGATCAATAGCTAAAGAAACAGAGATTAGAAAAAGCAGTAACTAAAAATCATAAAGGTAAAGGTTCCCCTTGACATTTAGTCCAGTCATGTCTGACTCTAGGGGGCTTTGCTCATCCCCGTTTCCAAGCCGTAGAGCCAGCGTTTGTCCAAAGACAGTTTCCGTGGTCATCTGGCCAGTGCAACTAGACACGGAACGCTGTTACCTTCCCACCGTGGTGGTACCTATTTATCTACTCGCATTTACATGCTTTCGAACTGCTAGGCTGGCAGGAGTAACTAACAATCATAACGAGTCGTAATTAGCAGGGTCTCCTTATGGATCCACACTAGGATTTCTAATACATTAATTGTTCATTAATTAACTGGAATAAGGATGAGCAACGAATTGGTTAAATTTGCAGACAATAATTGGAATTTTTAGTCTAGGAAAAAAACTGGAAAGGACCAGAAGAATATAATAGCAAGTGATAAAAGCATACACAAAATGAAAGAAGTAGATAAAAGAAAATATAAACACTTCCAGGATCACCTCGTGTAACTGGTTGGCTTTAGACCAAGAACAGATAAAATACTGCCTGACACAAAATGTAATTTATGGAATTCATTGCCACAAAATGTGGTCAATATCTTCAAGGACTTAAGGGGGGGAAAGTTAGACACATCTATAGAGGACAGGGTTATCATTACTCATGATGGCTATTTGTGGAATTATTTGTTACATTCATATCTCACTTCCCTTTTACAAGGTCAAGAATACAATTATGGGTATCTTTCTCTCCACTTTCTCTTCACAACAAGTATCCCTGTAAGATAAGTTGGTTATAGAATTTTTATACTGTATGTGTTTTTAATGAATACAAACCACACTGTTAGAGTACAAGAAATTAGGAAAGTCCTAGCTCTCTACATAGCAATCATACATTTATATCTTTATCTATAAGAATTTTCTCCCCACCACTCTTCTCCTCCCCGCCACTCTTCTTGGGAATTTGCCTGTTGATCTCAAGGAACTCTGCATTTCCCATCAAAGACTGGAATTAGAAGAATCTTTCACAACACAATCCAAATCTCTGAATGTAGACCACACATCTATCCCACAAGTCTTTCAAATTGTTATCTATCACTAATTGTACCTGGATGCCAAAGCAGAAAAACAAGCACACAGTTCTCAGAACAGTTCCCAGGAACTGAAAATACTTCATTGATTGCCTAATTGACAGGTTGCGAGTTCTTCTTGAAACAATAAACTTGTTCTTAGCTTGTACTTATGACTGCAGGTGGTTGCCTCATATGTTTGCATGCAAATATCAAAAAAGAGGAAAGAGAAATTCCTTCATAAGGAAAAGTGTCATGTAAGAGAAATTATGATATACACTTTTCTCTCAACATCTAATTTTCTGTGAACTGGGATGTTTTTGTATGGTGCAGGATCAATCAACCACAGAACATCCCCTATAACCTAAAGCTGGGTACCCACAGTGGTGTAATGGACAGAGTAACAGGCTAGGACTCAGGAGACATGTGCTTGATTCCCTGGCTCTGCCATGGAAACTCATTGGGGAAGGAGTTGAACTGGTGAAACCACTCTTTAAATATCTCATTTACCTTGAAAACTTTATTAGGGTAGTTATAAGTCAGTTCTGAATTGACAGCATGAAACAAAAACATAATTGAAAGTGGTACAATCCAGACACAGGATTGCTGTAAGGCTCTGAAATCTTACTACCCTGGAAGATGGGTTCTTACTGTATTCTTTAAGGAATCAGTAATGTCCTCAAAGGAAATACGTTTCCATTCAATAAATCAAATATCTGATAGTAAGGACCTTCTGGAAAAGAACAGGATCATTTAATTTCTTCATTTAAGAATTTTATTTGAAAGTTTTCATGTAAGAAATTCACGCACTCACAACCAAACATTACAAAACAGAGAGGAAACCAGAACTATTTTATACACGTGAACAAATTAATAGAAAAAATTCACCAACATACTGGCCGTAAGAATTAATGACAACTCAGGGTTACACTTTACTTTCTTTTCACACACTTTGATTATAATGTATTTTTTGTTCAATAGTTCAGATCTGTATTTTTCTTCTTTTGAAAAAACAGTATTTATTTTTAATAAAACCCATATCTGAACATATGCTCATTACATCGTTTTAGGATGTTAATTTGACCCAACCTCAGCAGTAAAAAAGATGGGTACAAATAGGTTTTTCTTTCAAAAGAAGAAAATCTTTTTTTCTTTTTCTCATTAAGGATTTTTCTACTTGTAAATATTCCTAACCATTTTCAGGTATAGGTTAACAACGAGAAATGTTAATATGTGATTGCCACAATCATTTATAATAAACAGCAATTTCCACAATGGGCAGGGTCAGAAAAATGTGCTGCTATGATCATAGGAATTACTGAAAGACATATTTCATCTTATCATGTTATTAATGCAAAATGCAGTAAGTATATATAGTGTGTGAACTAGCACACATCATCACAGGTTGAAATCTGTGTAGTATTTGGTATGTAATGTGTGTGCTACATTCTTCCACTCAACCAATGATGACAGATTAGGCAACATTTTGAAACCTGAATTGTATACATTTAACAGAAATTATATTCAGATTATTCTTCCACAATAATATCTGCTGGAAATAATAATTAGGGGAAGGCTTTCTTTTCCATAGGCACTTTTCACAGAAACTATTGCCCTGAGAAAATATCTTTTCAATAAAATCTTTATATTACAAGTTTGGCAGCATAAGTAATGGCCCCACTCCATATGAACCTATGCTCATAACATCATTTTAGGATGTTAAGCCAACCTTAATAATTGAAAAGATGGGCACAGGGAAATCACAATTCTTTCTTAAGACACCGACTTCCTGTATGAATAGTGCTTTTCTAAAGCTTAGTAAAATATGAAAACAAAGCAATTACTAAAGTTATTACTTATATATTAAAATCCTTTAGTATTGCTACAAATATTCTGATTTCGTTTTACATTTCTTCAACAAATCCAATTGCATTTTTCTCATGAGTATGTATGTACTGTACGTCACAAGGTTATTTTTATAACAGTCTATTAGAATTGTAAGTGTGAAACAGAGGAGGCAAAATCCATCTATTACGTCTCATAGGTAGGCCCTATATGAATGAGTGAGCTTTGCACAGTATCTTCAATTTTCTAAAATTAACACAAAAACATTAAAATTTATCAAAATTCAAAAAGATGTAAAAATGACCACCATTAACCTGTGTATTAAAAGCAAGTACTTTGAAGCCTTCATACAATGGCTTGCCTGTATGGGTATCACTGGGAACTAATTACACACATTATCACATGTGATCGAAATTATTCATCTATTCAGGCTACTTGAATAGATGGATAATAGCCTTCCATGAGGTGTATATAAAACAAAAGAGATGGGTGTGCCCTGTCCACACAGACATGATATCAGTGCAACTTTAACTGGAGAAACAGTACTGCTCTACATTACATTCCTAAGTAAATACTGTAGTTTGATAAACAAAAACATGTAGTTAAAAAAAAGACTTCATAATCTGTTAACCATTTCAATCCATGGAACGTAATTAGGGTGTTAGCCCCTTTCCCCTACAAATACTTAAAATGCTTGATCTATAAAAATAGGGAAAAAATCTGCCCCGCAAACATAAGTCAGTGTTGGTTTCTCTTCTCTTGCAGCCTCTGCCAGACATTCAACAACTCATATTTGTTTTCTGATTCAAAAATTACCTTAACCTCAGCAGTACTTTACACTCATCTATGTGGGAAAAAAACACCCTTTTTTTTTTCACAGATCTTTTTGGGAAGATCAGAATAATTGTAGTTTGATGCATCCAATTAGAATTCATTTTAGTGAATCATTTTTGTTATTCTATGCATGCAACTTAATCTGCTCTTAGTTACTCATGCACAAATGTCTCTGAAATAAACTGGTGAGCACAACATGTATGTATAAATCTATTGTTCCATTAGAAACATTTGCTTTTGAACACAGTCCAACATTTTACTGAAATGGCACCTGGATATTAAAAGTATTTCACACTCATCCATTTTCAAAATGGCTTGCGTGCAATTTGCAGTTGTTTTAAAAGCGTAGTGAAATTAAAAGGTATCATTTTAAAGAGCACTTGTACTTCTATTGTGAAAAAAGGAGAAATGCATACATTGATTGCATATTCAGTTTTGTTCAAGAAAATAAATCACTTTTATCATTGCTTTAAAAATATCTCTGCACTAATTTAGAGGAACTGATATATCTGAGAGACCTGTTAATTCTGTAACTAGCCTTATCCTGTTTTGCAATTCAAAAATGTTTAAAAATACTTCCAGTTATCACTAGACACTTATTGCCTGCTATGAACTCACACATTTTAAAAACTGACAGAAAATGTATTATGATCAAAAAACGATGAACAATTTTCCAGATGGCACTGCATCAATATAACTGAGACATACAAGCACTCATTGTAGTGCTTCAGCTTTCTAGCTCTTGATCTAGATGTATGATTTAATAGCAGTATGAAAACGAGAAGTTCAGCATACATGTAGCTTATTTTTAGTAGTTCTGCATTGTGATTGGAGCCAGTGCAGTTGAGGATGTTCTTCTCTGTGTATTGCTGATCCTGAATCTGCCTGTAACCCAGCAACTTGTCACATAGACTCAATCTGCTTGTATTTTAGGGCATATCTTATTTCTATGTAAAGAGAGTAGATACCTAGGAGTTCCCTTCTATTTCTTTTCTTCAAGAATTTGCATTGACCCCTAGTCCAGAGGACTTGCTACACATGTAAAAATCACAAGGTAGAAAGAAAACTACAGAAGGGGCACCACGCTACCTTTCAAGGCTCTCTGCTGATCCCCATCGCACTCACAGACTAAGTCGTGAGAGCAATGTAAACAAGGAAGCCCCTATTTAAATTTGACCTCTGTTGGCAATGCTAGTCCACAGAGCTTGGGATCAAGATGAATATGGTAAAAAGCACATACTTTAATTCCACCAATTTTAGTTGTCAATGTTAAAAACAAAAGGAGGAGAAATAGATTCTCTTGGCTCAGATAAAGACAGAGTTTCATAGATTTGTTAGGTACCTTTCTGTTTCACAATGAAGTTCCACCATCCCATTGGGCTGTATTGCCAATACTTTCAAGATACAGTATACAATATTTCAGTATACAGGAGGGAAAGAACAGTTCATTGTGGCACAAGATGATATGTCTCTCTTCCTTTCCTCTCTATAAAGAGAAAAAGGAATCTTACATGGAAATACAAGAATATAAATCTTAGTTAGCACTTCTTGTTAGATTTATTATATCACTTCATCTCACAAAAAAACTTTAGATTATTTCAAAACAGGTGAAACACTCTTTGCAGTAAGGCTTAAAATTACCAGGCTTGTTTTAAAATATTATTTGAGAAGGACGGAGTGTTTCAAAACTGCTTCCCTTTGAAAGTTAATTTCTTGTACTGAAACATGTCACACACACTGCTTGATAGGAAAATGCATATAAAAATATTTCCCTTTAAAAATCAGATACTGTTTCATATAGGGAATTATTTGCCTCCCCATGCTAAAAATAAGTTAAATATTGTTCTTTAAAGTAGCATAGCAAAACAAATACATTTTTTCTGTAATATGAACTTTTGCAGTTCTCTTGGTGACACTCATTTACTTCAGCATGACTTTCAGGCAGCCTGGCTTTATTTCTGTGAACCTGTGAATCAAAAATATGGGCAGTTAGACCGGGTTAAATTTTAAACAACCATGACTGGAAGGAAAGCAGCTATTAGTCCATCTACAATTGCACAACAACACAACAGTTACTTTCTCATTCTTTTGCAAGAGACTGCAGGGACAGACCATCATTGCTTTTTTTAGTTTCACTTGTGTCATGTAACACTCTAGCACAAGGTATAAACAGCCCTTCATGAGTGGAAGACATCTTCTGCATTTAGAAAAACCATACCTGGAACAATCACCTTTTGACAAAAAAAGGAAGAATAGATATTGGGGGCAGGGGGGACATCTTACATATATATTTTAAGAAAACGGGGAAGGATTAAAATAATATAGTTTATATTATGGGAATTTATATTACATGAACAGCAACCCTCGTATCACTTAGTAAACTGAGGAAGTTTTATACAGTAGGTTGTGATATGGTGTGGAGAAGGGAAACTGCTCTTGCTGGAAGAAAAAAGAAATCCGTGTACCTATCAAACAAAGCAGCTGTTCCTCTGGATATAATATGAAATATTTTCCAGCATGAAAAACAAAACAAAACAACAACAAAAATGACCGAGAAGTATGACAGAGTACAATGTAGGCATTTGGCCTCACCTCAAAAGCTAGAGGAGCAAATTCATTTTTTGTTTCCTCTGATTTCCTCCACAATCCCATTTTATTAACTCTACATCAGTTACTTCAGCTACTACTCTACCATTGGCTTCAGTTTTATTACAGCCCTGCCATTCAGATGGATTGGCCAAGGGCCAGAATGGGAATTGCAGACTGACACATACTGTATGGCGAGCACCAAGAAATCTACTGAAATATTCTGTTTGCACACATTTCCTTGTTCACTTTTCATATGAGTATGAGCAGGCCATTACCATCAATGGAAGTTAAACCAACCGAATCAATCTTCACATTAGAACAATGGCACCATGGAGTTTCATATAGACTTGGCTCAAGTCTCTAGAATCCTCTATGAAAGCTACATGAAAAGAAATATAGCATATTGCAGACCCAATAATATGTTCATGATAGAAACTCCATAAAAATTATCTAGACTATGATAGTCTTTCTCAAAAATAATCACCAGTTTTTAATCAGTTAAATACAAGCTGAAAAATTTTCAGTCCCAGTACATTAACTCACCTAAATTTGTGGCTTGTTAGGTATCTCATTACTGCTGGTTTGATGCGAGCAACTCGTCCCTGGCTATGGTTTCCCCTTCCTGTGATCACGTAAAGATAAGGCTTACCACCAGCCAGGCTGCACTCTGTTGCACAAAAATGATAAGGGTCACAATATTCTCTCTTCAGAGATCTAGTTGTTTTTTTAAGGTATATGTCTAACAACATTCAACACAGTGATTATAAAATAATATGCAGTGTATTACATGGACAAATGAAGCAGCTTTGTACTGTCTTGGATCATTGGTTTAGCCCACATGTTTCCTTCAGTTGATAGTGGGTTGTCAGAATTTGCCCCAGCTTTGATATCCACAATATTTATGATCATTTTCACAAAGTGACAGGAATTAAATTTGAGATGTTCCACACATAAAGCACATACGATTTATCTAGATTCATATACACAGCTCCAGAAAAACAAATATGTCCTAAGAAGTCTTCTGCTACCTTCTGTTTTTTCCTGTAGCACTGCACCCAAATGATCCAAAGCTTCATCCACATGAAGACCGTGCAGGTCCAAAAGGTTTACAGGCAGCTTTGAGGCATTTACTTTCTCGAAGATTTGCACAGCAGCATCCCGGTTTGCTTCTTTCATCTTCTGCTCATGAAAGCGACCCTTTATTCAAATATACATCAATTGTCAAATCATGAGGGGTGGCTTAATTCTAGGGTTTGATAGTGGGGCTCCAAACAGAAACAAAACAAAAACAGAAGAAAACAAATGCAAAACACAACACAACAAATGGGGAGCCTTAATACCTGAGGAGAAATGCGCTGTACTGGACTTTTCAAAATAAGTCATATAAGGTTTGATGGGTTTAAAGGAGATGTAAATCAACAAGCTGGTGTGAAGTAGGGATAGAGTTCAAAAAGACAGGAAGGAAAATGGAAGAGGAAAGTAAACATGATGCAGAACTGAACACAAATAACAATCAGAACAGTACAATCAAATTCTTTCTCAGTGTTCTAATACAATCATACGTGGTAGGTTTTCCAGAGTTGGTTCAAAAACACTATTCTGTCTGTGTAAGAGAGCTATATACTTGGTTTAAAAAAACATGTGAACTGATCGATGAAACATCACTTTTGAAAATTGAAGAGATTCAGTCATAATTTGTGATAGCATGGGATCTATTGCTGAAAAAGAAAAGCTAAATTTTCAACTTGGCCTGCCTTAATGTAGCCTGTCAGGTCCCAGTGCTTGTAACTAGTAAGTTGTATCATGCTGCCTTGTGTTGTCACTCACCTATACCATACATGGGGGATATCAGAGGACATAAGGGTCATATTTTTGCCCCAGCTCCCATCATGGGTCTCATTGTTTTAAATAAAACCGGAAACAATAAGTACCCAGATACATTTGCTATTTTTTAATTTTGTGGAACCCCCTCAAATCGAAAACCATTGCTCCTGGAGGCTTTTGGTTAAACAATTTAAAACATTCACATACACATACAAACTGCATTTTCACAGTATGATCTTTTGGGGAAAAAAAAAGTTCCTGGAAGCCAAATTTGGCCAAAGGGGGGCATGATACCCATTCCTGATTTTATCACTGCTTGACAGCAGTTTGAAGTGCAAATACTGGCCACTATAGCTGTCAACGGAGTTGAGAAAGCATCCAAAATATAGACATTCTTTTACTAAAGGTATCTCTTGTGATAGGGAGAACAGTTTATACTTGTTCTGCCTAGCTATTCTTCACAACATAGACTAACACAGTCCTACAAATACCTGTCCTCTAACAACTGCAAGCATGCAAACATCTACCTCAAAATTAGATGTTAGTACGTATAAGCTAATTTTAATTTTATATCTGGTATAAACAGATATATTTGCTATCTGATTTCCTGAATATTGTATTGTTTTTGCATAAAATAAAAATTGCAACAGTGGTTGATTTAAAATAATAGTGAAGCAAGTCTCACTACAAAAAGAGCTACAGCGAGAGCGAGATTTCAAAAAACAGGCGTTCCAGGAAAATCGTCGTTAAAGCGAAAACATCGAAATGCGAAAAAAACCCAATTGAAATGCATCGAAACCCCTTCAATACGTTCCAATGGGGTCAAAACTCACTGTCCAGCAAAGATCCTCCATAGGACAGCCATTTTCGTTGCCTGTCTTGCGAGGAATCCGTCCCAGAAAACAGCAGGGAGCCATTTTGTTTACCCGGCGGCCATTTTGAAACCGCCAATCAGCTGTTTAAAAAACATCGTTTTGCGAAGAATCGGTTCCCGAAGCAGGGAACCGATCATCACAAAGTGAAAAAACCCCATTTAGACCATCGTTTTGAGAGCGCAATTGTGATCGCAAAAAGATTGTCGTAATGCAGTTTTGTCGTAATGCGGGGCAATCGTAAAGCGGGGCACCACTGTAAGTATCAAACTAACAGCCATTACCCTTGACAAAAAGTCAGATTCAACAAAGCACATGTTGTATAATAACTGGCAAAAAACATATAATACCCGTTGGACATAAAATGCAGCTACTGGCTTCATTCCCTTGCGGTATGCTTCCCCAGCTTTTCTTAGACACTCTTGCCTATGCTGCTGGTGAAGGAAAGCTTCAGCCCTGAAGTCATCATATCCTGGATATTCAAAGTCTTGGAACACTTTTTCAATGAGATTGTCCTCTGGCTCCTTGATTTTTTTCACCTGTAATTCATAATAGCCACAGTTAGGATGCAGCCTGATGCTTTTAAGGCAATTTCATGGTGTGTAGAAGAGCTTCCAAAATCATCATTTATTTCTTTAGTTCAGAACAGCGAAGAAGAGAAAAACACATATACTCCTAAAACATCTCCTTACTAAGCAGTTACATAAAGCTATTTTTCAGAAAATGTCTTTGCTAATGACTGCACAAAATGGTCATTACCTTTTTCTTTGGTATACCGCAAGAAGAGAGAGTAGTACCCTGAGTAGTTTCTTTAGCCACAACAGTTTTTACTGGATCTGCTTCCAGAACGGTATTCAGAAACTGCACAGTTTGTTCCAAAGAATAACTAAGACAAAACCATTTAAAAGCACAGTGAATAATTTGGGATAAATATGTTCATGGAATAAAGCAGAAAATAACACTGTAAAAAGAAAAAAACAAGAGGACAGAACATTCTAATTCTTGATCTTTATACTCTGAATTAATTTCAGTTGTCTATCAAAGTACCCTTAAGGTTAATAACTGTGTTTTGTCAACTGGATTCTGACTTGTGGCAACCCTTTTAAAGGATTTCCTTGGCATAAGTACTCAGAAGTGGTGCACTAGTCCCACCTTCTGGTGGCGCTCTGAAACCATGCAACTTGCTCAACTCTGTACAAGTGGCAGGGCAACTAACCTTATGCAATATCTTTAATGAAACTATTGATGATGGCCCAACAATGCCTACTTCCTTGCTGAATCCAGATGGTGTTGGACTACAATGTCTATCAGCCTTAGCCAAAAAGGCAATGGGGAGAGATGACAGATGTTGCAGTCCAGCAACATATAGGGTCACAAAGTGCTCACCCTTCATGCCAAAAATGTGCCATAAGAAAACGCTTTTCAAACCTGGTGCCAGCAAGCCCCATAGACAAGAGAGAATTCCACAGCAGGGCACCACTGCTAATAAGGTTCTGTCTTGTGTCATGGCCAGCCTTAACTCAGACAGTAAAAAGACCTGGAATGGAACCCCCTGACAATGATACTTCTATTCAAGTATGTGAGAAGGATATGGGATAAAGAGGTTCTTCTGCTAACTGAAGTGCCAATCCACTTAAATCCTTAGAAATTAGCACCAGCACTTTAAATTTACAATACTGAATATATTAATCTGCAGTCATAACTAGTCTTTCCAACACAATAATTCCTATTTTACTGATATGGATCATATTAAATAAGAGCTCACTTGTTGTCCTTGAAGATGTCCATCAAGAAATTCGGATTAATAGTTGGGAATATCTCCAAGAGTTGCTTCTCTTTCAGTCTAGCAGCACAATCTTTTCTAGTCATGAAAGGAAAATGTTTCTAAACAAAAAGAGAGATATATTTTGTATTCATATATCCACAAAACTTCTTCATAAAGAACAGATTTCATACACAAAAAGCTAAATGTATAGGGCAACCCTGGAACAAAGCAGATCCATAGAAGTACTGCCACCCCCACCCTGCTTCTAACAGGATGGAATTTACTAATCTAGCTTTTGAAATAGACAAGGCATCTCAGGTGAACAAGGAGCCTAAGACCGGTAGGCCGTTCCTCCAAACTTGATTTATTTTGATCTTACTAAGGGTGGTGTACCAGAGTTAAGCAGACAAATCATCAAAGGCTGATGAAGTAAAAGCAGGCTTTTAATCTCTTTCTTCAAACAAAAAAGCAAGTGTTTCTGTTCAATCCTATCCTTTACTTTTCCAGTACTTTGGAAATTATATGAGAGTATGCAAATATGCCCCATTTTCTTCTCTACTGCAATCACAAACTCAGAAGTAAGCTCCCCAGAAACTGCATATCATATTGCAATCTTAATTATTAATGCAAAGGTGATTGGGCTCCCAATCTTACAGCCCTTACAGGTAGAGTTGCTACCCTCTCCATTTCTTAGTAGGAAAGAATAACTCAAAATCTTGGTAATGCAGCCATATTTATTTATTTAACTTATACGACACCCACTCTACCCAAAGGTCTCTGGGCAGCTTACAACAATTAAAATACAATAAAAATAGATACTCTAAAAATTGCCACCAGGACCCACAGTTGATATTATTTCAATTAAAAGCCTTCTGGAACAGGAAGGTTTTGACCTGGTGCTGAAACGTCATCAACATCCGCGCCAGACGAATCTCGGTCGGGATGGTGTTCCATAGTCTGGGGGCAGCTGCCAAAAAGGCCCTTTGTCTACAAGCAATCCCTCATACCTCCTTGAGGGATGGCTCTTTCAAAAACCAACATGAATTTGACACAACTCCGGGAGGCGGTGGAAGATAGGAGGGCCTGGCGTGCTCTGGTCCATGGGGTCACAAAGAGTCGGACACGACTAAATGACTGAACAAACAAACAAACAAAGCAACTGGTAGCCAATGTAATTTAAACAGAATCAGATTGATGTGTCCCCTAGCGGCCCCACCACTCGCCAGCTGCACAGCTCGATTCTGGACCAGTTGCAGTTGCCGGACCGTCTTCAAAGGCAGCCCCACGTAGAGAGCATTGCAGTAATCTATACAAGATGTTACCAGTGTGTGTGTAACTGTCATGAGACTCCACTCGTCCAGGTAGGGCCAAAGCTGGTACAAAAGGAGCCTCATGGCGCAGTGGTTAAAACGCTGTACTGCAGCTAAAACTGTGCTCACGACCTGGGGTTCAAATCCCAGGTAGCCGGCTCAAGGTTGACTCAGCCTTCCATCCTTCCGAGGTCGGTAAAATGAGTATCCAGCTTGCTGGGGGGGCAATGTGTAGC